TTGCGTTTTTTGCTTTCTACCCCCAAATCCGCAATTTTTGTGGATTTTTCACAAAGCGGAAAATTCTTGACTTTACTCTATGGTTGAAATACTTGTACCTGGCCGCGTATTTTAATTTTGTTATGTACTCGTAGACATCTCACATGGTCTAGTTGTTGAAGCCAAGTTGTCCCACTGGTTGAGTTGTCTCAACGGTCGAGTTGGCCGAAGTCAAGTTGGTAAATGGTTGAGTTATCCAACATCCTTACAGTACCCTACACAGGTTGCACTGAATTCCGAGTCAACTTAGTCCTAGGTTAACTGAATCACAGGTCAACTCGGTCTCTGTGATAAAATAAAATGTACATACATGTAATTGGATAGATCTCAAGCTGGGAACAGACTGTCGTTCTGTGCATCTTGCACTTAATGTTGCCAAGCGCTTGGTGCCAGCAGGGCACGCACAAATAATGCCATGCTCATCAGAATTAGTTATTAAATTAAGTTGATTGCAAGGATTCCATAAAAAATTTTTTTTTAAGAAGTCCATCATCGAATAAAAGCAAGTAATCCATGTGCAAAGGAATAAACATTTGGCCAACTTTACCAGGGATCATTGGTCCTCAAACAATTTGATTTGGGTAACTTCTATTTGTAGTTTTGGTTTGATATATTTTTGTGAAATAACATGACATGTATTGCTTATTGACTATTAACTAATGATTATTGGTTATCTCTAATGTTACCTGATTGCTCCTGCTGCGATGGTCGGTGCCTTCATGCTTTGTTTACACCACCAAGACCTGCACTGACAGTGCATTTTGCAGTACTTTCGCGCGTGTGTGTGAGCCAGAGTCTCATGCAGTGTGAACATGCTCGGTCACACTAGCGCCCTGTTGTGCTCTTTCTCATGTTTTTCCCTTGAAATGTTATGTTATGAAATGTTGTGTTTCAAAGATGTTTCAAAGATGAAATGTTATGATCGAATATTTTGTTCTTTGTTCTTATTCAAAAGCAATCCAAGAGGTGTAAAGAGCCGCTGTACCGGTAGATTACAGATAGTCAGTTTGGGTTGTAGATGTTGAGGTTGTTGTTCTGACATTGAACCAATCGTGATGTCTGGATATCCGGTGTAAGCCCTAATTTAGTGACTGGTACAAGTTTTAAGGAAGCATGAGAGGACACGCCTGATGTGGTCCTACAGTAGTTGTTGCTACCTGTATTAGTTGCTACATGTGCACTTATACGATACTGGTTACAAATGTGTGACATCTAGATGGGAAAAATGTAAAAAAAACCCCAAAAAACAGGATGCCAACTGACTTTCGTACATTGTCATACATGTACATGTATGTCACCGTCAAAATCGGTCTGTAAGCACACACATGTATTTTGCCAAATAAACAGAACATTATGGTGTCTGTAAGTTCTTACTCTGGGCTTCTAATGAAGAAATATCGTGTGATAGAAATGGATTGACTCAGATTTCCTTGGATTGCAAACTGTAAATTTTGACAGTCGCATTTGTAACAGCTGTACCAACGTGTGAAGACATGACAAAGGTTCCTTGTTCCCTGTTGTAGGAAATGTTTTATATGCATGTTGCCCATATATACTGGGTACAAGGCTGTTTTCATGTGGTTTCAAATGTACATGTACTCTCAACACGGTACACAATGCATGCTTGTAATGCATTATGAACAGGATGCAATTGCAATTACAGCAAGAAAAGTTAGCAAAGTTAATTTGTGGCAACAGTTGCAGATTCCTTTGGAGGTCTAAATTTACAGACGGGTTATTTTTAATTGATTGCGGCAACTGGGCAAACTTAACCTTTTGGCAGTGATAGAGCAGCATCAGCGTGCATGCTCATAACTGCTCAGGACACCACGTTACGAACGTTACCACAAACTAAGATGACTTTATGAAATACACAGTCTGTCATTATTTAACTGCACATGTGTGTGCATACATTCAGAAGGCAAAACAACATCAAACACAACAGAAAAAAATCAGAAATGTTTGTGATATTGGGGTGCGGGGGAGAGTACCGTTGATAGTTCACTGTTCTAGTACATCTGAAAAGTCGAGTCAAAATTTACGAATTTCAACTTTTCAAATTTATTGGCATTCAAATTTGTTAACTAATTTTCTAAAAATTCAGAAATTATTCATTACAAAACAACTTTTTACAGTGGTTCTGGCAGAAAATGATTTTTTTGCTTGGTTAGAGGAGATGGGGATTAGTTGGAACATTGGGTTAGTTGAAACATCAAAACTTTTCATAGAGCTTACTTAAATTTTATAAAATGTTGCCCTCAAGAGGTGTCCCTTAGCAACAGCAATCCACTATATTGGCTGCAGCAACATTGTAACAATAGTGTTGAAGTGGGAAAGCTAGTAAGTTTTTCACATTTTGAGTGAATTTGTCACCATTCAAATAATGTATGCTCTTACATGTATGGTGTTCATAGATAACAGGGACTAGTTTGGGGGTATTATATGATCAAGTACCAAGCTACAAAATAAGCTTAAAAAGATACGTTATTTGAGCCCCTGTTTTGTAAAGTGGGCACACAAATGTCACATGGGCCACTGGGGCTAGTTGGAACATTTTGATCGGGGTTTGTTGGAACATCCCCAACAGAATAAATGATTGTTAATTAAATCAATGAACAAAAGTTCTACAACTTGAGAAGGATTTTCATGTCAATGTATGAAGGAACAGCCTTTTAAATGAAAGTTCTCATCTCTTTTAAAACTTTTAATGCGTGTTATAGAGACAGCTGCAGGGGAAATTGCAAACAATGAATCTAGGCCTATGTAGCCTTGAAAAATGGCACCCTATGGGGGAACTCGCAAAACAACAAAACTCTAAACCAAAGACTGAGTTAATAAGGACTCGGACACCAGTGGTTGAGTTTTAAAAAAGGACACCGCAGAATTTATCAATGAAAAGTACTGAGAAAAAAAAAACTAAAAACCAAAATCAACACAGAGCAAGTACACTCCAACAAGAAATCAATAACTTGAGCAGACAAAACACAAGCAAGGTGAACCACTCTAGTTGAGAGGGTGAAAGATGAACATACAAGTAATACAAGTACAGGGACATGTACGCACTTCCCTGCTGATCTGCCCTTCTGAACTGCCTTGACCAGGAGGCAACTTTATAGGGGACCTTGTGGGCTAAAGTAAACAAACAGGGGAACCCACTACCTACGTACGTGTAGAAAAGGGGGGGGGAATCTGAGAGGGGTATCTGAGACTGAATTTTGTTTTCCGCACTAAGAGACACTACTCCTAACTTCTAAACAGTAAAGAACATACATAAAATTACAAGTGTAACTTGGCCCTGTCACACCTACATGCTGTTGTATTACAGAAAAACACATTGTTTGATCTATTCTCATCATAACTGTTGGCCTGTTGGCTGTTGAATTTTGCACCTAGACCACTATTAACCCTAACCCCCAAGGGTGTATGTAAAATCATATTGAATTGGAGGATTTGGGACTGTTGGGGTTAATCTGCCAACAATATCTCAGTGGGGGAAACAGAATGTTCACAAATTCCTGTGTTTTACTTTTATTCCTTTTCCACAACCCTTTTAATAGATTGTTTTTTTTCATCTTAGTAGTCAAAATGATGCGTAGCTATGTTTGTAAGCTACATGTGGCCAGACCCCACCTGACGTAATGGAGCGAGCTGTGTGAGAGGTGCTTGTAAATCACAGACAAAATTCAAACTGTTGCAACTGAGTTTGAAATGGGAGTATTACCAGTGCTTGGAACAACTATTTTACTTGAACTCAAGTGTAAATCCAGTTTTCAAGTCATTAAAGTGTACTTTTAGATTATCCACACACATACAGCCACATATACATACATGTACACATACATCCATAAGTTCCAACTTACCCCATAAAAGGGGTTAGTTGGAACTTACCCCATAAAAGGGGTTAGTTGGAACACTTGTCGTAGTTGTGATCAAGATGGATTATCTATATAATCATCAACAATTCTGAGAATTTTATATACTACATTTGTAACATGTGTATGAATAAATTGGGTAAGTTGATTCTTGAAAATGCTCTGTTGATGTTATGGATATGTTTTTGTGAAAATCGTGTCAACTAACCCCCACCTCCCCTACCTTTTATTCGTGAAGAAGTTTTTGTCATGATCTGAAACCAATCCATAACTAGGAAAGGTGATGTTGTCACTTTTGTCGATCCTCTGAGTCCAAATTTAAAAGCTTAGAGCTTTGAAAATAATTTTGAGGTATCTCCAAAACACAAGGTTGACTGCTGATCATATTTCACTGGAATTTGCGGATGTTTGTAGCTGCAATCTTATTAAATAGTTTTGGCGATCAGAAACTAGGGTAATGACTGTACCAAACATATGAACAAGAGGCTGAATGAATCTTGTCGTCTGAAGTGGCCACGCTGTTGATGTTCATGTGTACTTTCATGACTGTATATATGACTTCCAACCCTGTCAGCCTATAATGACTTTTATGCTGAAATGGTAGTGCCTACTGTTCGAATTAAGAGTGTTTTTTTTAATTAAACAGTAGAAATGAAAATTAGAGGTAGTGGTCATTACAGCAACACCGACAGAACTGTTTCAGACTTTGAGTCGTTTAATGAGGAAAAATAAAACATACAAAAAAAAATTAAGAGATGACGAAATGAATCTGAATTAATTCTTGTATCAGGGTCTCTGTTGACTGTAACTTTGATAATGATCAAGCATCGCAAAGTTAGCAAAATGGTAGTTTGGAAACATGAACAAAGTCAATGGGCTGAAATAAGCATTGAAAAATCAATTAATCAGATGATGACATCAAGGAGTGATCCATTTGGAATAATTCTTGTTTCAGGGTCTTGTTACCATAAGTTACCATAGTGGTGGCTTGAGAATATGTACATACATGTATATGTACAAAGTCAATGGGCTAAAACACATGTATGTATGCAGAAAAACTTCTCCTTTAAAGTGCATGTACAAAACCTATGAAGAAAAACTCAGCTTTAATCTTATATCACTTGACACCCGATGATGTAATTTTGACAATTCTGTCTGGGTACCCTCTCTCCGAGGTGGACTACAAGTGTACATAAATGGAATAAGTCAGATTGACCAGGGTGGCAAAGACTGGCCGTTGAAAAACGTGTACAAAACTTATGGGGAACATTAAATATTCAAAATCAATCAAAAATTGGTGATGTCATCTTGATGCTATCCATTTGGAATATTTCTTGCATCAGGGTCTTTGTTGGCTGTCACTTTGATAATGATCAAACATCGCAAAGTTACCATAATGGTGGCTTGAAAACATGTACAATGGGCTAAAACACTTGCAACAAACTTCTCTAAGTTAATGCAACGTGATTTGCTTTAATAAACTGAATTATTAAGTGATACGTTTTCTCTTGTGTATATTTCAAATCGAATAACAGAGCATAAAGCATACAATTTCTCTTTCATTCTCATAGAAATCTTGAGCAAAAATTGAGGACTACTCACACATTAGTCAGTAGTAGACAAATGTGTACAAACCCCATGGCAAAAAATTAAATATTCAAAATTAAATTACATGATGAAGTCATCATGATGAAGTGTTCAAGAACCATCCTTGGATGATTGTCTGAAGGTCTGCCAAGATGTACATGAAAGCACCGAAGTACAACAAACGTGTCTGAAAAGAAAAAAAAACAAACCGAGAGCTTATCTGTCTTTTTGCCGACAGAACAGGGCTCTTTCACATTCCTTTGTTAATTTGAACAACCAATCTACTGCACAAACCTGATGGTATAATTATTTCATCATGACCTGAAATAAATATTGAAAAATCAATAATAAATCACTTGATGATATCATCATGGCGTCGTTGTAGGACCATCTATGCAAATGGGTCCTTCATTTGTATAAATTTGATGAAGATCCAAAGTTGCAAAAGCACCAAAGTCGTATGTACAAAATGTGCACAAATTGAATGGGCTTTTGAGTAGGGGAAAAAAAGGAAACGAGAGGTTCTCTGTCTGATTGCGACAGAACATATGGCATTTTTGCATGTACGTGTATAAGCTTTGTAATGAATGTCTTTCCATGTTTGCTTATGCTCTCCATGTCAAATTTCCACCCAATCCGATTGTTATTTACTTTAGGATGTACATGTACACAGGGTTTTAAAGGGTGCACATTTAATGTCACTTGACTTATCACTTGATGATATCATCATCCAAGAATGCCAGTGTTTCAGCTGCATTGCTTACATTTTGAGTTATCTGAAGAGACTCCCCCAAATACGATGTGTATTCCAGGAGAAACAAGGGTTAAAAATAATACTTCGTTAATGTCACGTGACCTGCCACCTGATGGTGTCCTCACCACAGTTAAATTTTTGTCTGTAAAACTTCCCTTTGTAGTTACCTGCATATTTTTGAATCAGGGATATATACTTAAGGAATTAAAGAGTGTACGTTTAATATCACGTAACATTTCTCATGATGACCTCACCTCACGTCAATATTCTTCTGAAAAGCTTTCATTTCAAGATACATGTATCTGCAAGGTTTGAATCTAATTGGACATATAATTTGCTTCAAGAGTGTACCTTTAATGTCATGTGTATGTGTTACCTGATGATGTCATCACATCGGGTGAATTTTGTCTTTAACACTTCTTTTTCTATTTATCTGCTATTTCCACATGCTATTTCCAATGGGACATATACTTTCGGAGAAATAGACTTTAAAGAGTGCACCTTTAATATATGTAGCCTAGGAAAAGTAATAGCGCCCTCTTGTGTTGTACCGGGTACTCTCTAAAATAAAGCATGCTTGGCAGCAGCTATGTTTTACGGAGATTTTTGAGGCAATCCAAATTCTTTGCCAAACAAAACACTTATCCCAGTTACGTTTTGACACTGTTGGCTCTCAGGTAAGCCAACACTTGTCATGGGGTATGAAGCAGATTATTTAAGTGGAATTTATTGTTAAATTAAATGGGGTTTGGGATTATGATTGTGTCTGCAAATGAATTTGTGGGACCTACCAGTAAATGGAAAATGCCTGCACTAATAGATCATGTCCTGCCCATATGGATACACATGTATAATTACACTGTGTTGTTTTTTTTTTAACATGGATGGGTATTTCTACATGTACATCAAAGTTTGGAATAGATATAAGCCAATTAATATGATTCATAATTTGATTCTAATTAGATAAAAGAAGTTACAGTTTGATTTATGCACTTTGTCACTTGTTACATTTTGGAAGCATATTTGCTGGAACTTAAGTCAATTATTGATGAGCTTTTATTACGTTCTACATGTAATATTTGGCAGTCTGGAACTCATTTGGCAATGGAACTTCTTGTTGAAATGAAGTAAGCTCAAAGTCAGCATGTCTGTACAGCTGTATTTGCATGATTTCTTTGGCTCTCAGGTACCAGGTGCTACCTACATGTACATACTTTAAGACTTCACTAACATCAGTGTTACCACAGTCAGTTCAGATTGAAACCCAGGCTGCTATGGTGGTTGTGACATCATCATCATCCATCGAGTGAGCTGCAAGTGTAAATTTTGCTAGTGGTGAAGACTCTACCCCAGAAGTAAGTGGTTGGCAGAGACGTGACTAGTGGAGTAATCTTTGGCCCACAGTACATGGAGGCAGACTACGGATTCCGTCCACCACAGCACAGGACACATGTGTGCTGATATCCTTTTGGAACTGGCTGTTCTTTGTGTTAGAACCCAAGACTAACACGGAAAGAACTAAGAAAAAACCAGGATCCTGGTTGATGTACTTATACCAGTTTATTACCAATTGAGCGCTTACATGTATTTTATTCACCTAATTCACCTGTATTGTTATTGTTGAATTTTGTGTTAATAATCGTAGGATTACAGGAGCTAATCACATTTAACGAAACAGATTTTGTGGTTCAGAAACTAGTGTTGAAATAAAAGTGTTTAAATCAAAGAAGGGAAGATCTGTGGGACTGGCAGTTTTGAGAGTGTGGGTTACATATGTCACAAGACCTGTAATTCAGCTGATGACGTAATCATCACATACATGTGGTCAGTTTTTGTCTTCAACACATCTCATCAAAGCCTGGAATAAATATCATATTGTGATGAAACAGGGATAGATATGGATGCCAGTCTAGTTCATAAATTATTAATGCATGTGCGGACCAATCAGCGTTGCATAGAGCGCTAGGTCTGGGCTCTTGCGGCGTGCTTAGGGCGCGCACTGTTAGTTTCGCTGCTTGGTCACAGAGTGGCAAGATCGCAGAGAAAGCTGTATACCAATCAGTGCTGTGTACTGTGCGAGGTAGCGTGGATGCTGCACCAGACGCGCTGCGTGTGGATACGCTAGCTGGTAGGTGTAGTAGTGAGCTGTATTAGGTCTAGATTAGTTAAATGGTAGAGCTGAGTGTACATAGAGAACAGGGGCTGGGAGCTGGTGGTTTTTGTTTTTGGATTGCTTGTTGTCTGTAAGCACTGCTAGTGGGGTGACAGCTGGAAGGCAATCCTGTTATCATCATGTTAGCTGGCCTTGGGGTTCACTTGATGTGCTCAGATTGCTGTGAAGGTAATTACCCTCTCATTAAATTGACCCTGATTTGCATGACATTTTGTACTTTTGCGTGAAGGCTATCGCTACATGTTAGTAGTGAGGTATCCCTTAGGTTATAGATTGGCTGTGCTAAAGCTAGTCAGTGGGCAGGTTACCATGTGAGGCATATTCAACTGCCTTGTGAGGTGTATTGTGTAAATAAACCTTGGGTTATTTATATACCTCATTGATTTATAATTGGTTATTGTCCATGTAAATCCTGTGTCACTGTGAGGTTTATTAAGGTTTCCCTGTATTTCCTTGCTGTGATACCAGTATTGATTTGTCTTTCCTGATTGGTGGTAAATTTCCACCAAATGAACTGCTCCTAGGCTTAGTCCGCCGTTTGTTAGCTGATATCCCCCCTTCTGTCAGGGTAGCCGCTCATCCTTGAACAAGGTAAATAAATATATTTGTGGGGTCAGGCCAGGTCAATTCCATCTTCGATCAGGCCAGTCTACTGGGTCCGCCACAAGAGGTGTCAGTTGTATCGCCACAGTATTACCTGGATTTTATCCATGTATTGGTAAGAGTGTTCTTTTCGTGTATATTTTTGTGTTCTTAAGTTTTCTTGTATGTGCACCCTGCAGGTGTCTACCCTACCAATGAATTATAGGCCTTTGCCGGTTGAATTCAGGGGGTCGCTGCCGGGATCTGTCATACTTCCCTGTCTTCTCTGGCTACCAGGACGAGGAAAAGGCCTTGCCGTCGTCCAGGGGGTTCCAGCCAGGATCTGGCCAAGCCACCTGGTTTGTTCGGTCCCACGGAGCTGACGGGGAAGCTCCATGTTCGACTGCGGAAGACCCAAGCAGGGACACTGCCAGAATCTGGCAAGGACCCTGTCTCCTTGGTCAATTGCTGGCCAGGCGAACCAGCCGGGACTCCCAGAGAGTACCCCATCAGACGTCTCCGGGGCCTGTCCTAACGTCATCTTTATGCCGACATGGCCCAGAGGAATCTACTCTGTGTTCCCATTGATGCCAAAGAGTACCACCCGCTGTTCGACATTGGCCTAGAATGCCACTACTCTGGTGGCCCCCCGTGCGTACTCCCTCTGGCCCATTTACCAAAGTCAGTGTTGGCATCTAGATGTAATCCACACGGTAGCACTTTCCGGGCCAACTTCCCGGATCGTGGCCCAGTGAATACTCCATCGGTATGCATACCCAGTCCTGACTCTCCATCACAGCCTTCTGGAGCTACTCTCATTGCCATCGATAGGTCCTCCCGGGCCACGGGGAAGTGAGTCCACGCTTCATTTAGTGATCTCTAATGACCGCTACAAGTCTAAACCTACCGGCATTCGAGACGTCACCGGGCACCAAGAAAGGAATAAACAAATTAATGTTTTGGTATCTTTTGCAGTTCTGTCATGGTGAATTCATCATCGTGACACAGACCTACTGCGTCTCTTCCCTTTCGCATCCCCAGGCATCCGAACCTAATGTTCTTTAAGCCGTTGGGATTTTACACATCCCTTGGCACCCCATAATCCAGGGTTTCCCCAAGGAGCCTTGTGGGAGAAATTTTGCAAATCTATTTCCACTGCGTCTTACCACATACAACCCTGTAATCAGTGGAACGACCATTCTGTGGGCCCCGCTTACGTAGCCACATAACGCATACTGTCCGAACACGTGTTCACTTCAAAAGTGGGCGTGTCCAAAATCTGTGACTGTTACGAGGCCTGCCAAAAGTAGGCCTACTGTGAGTCACCTAATTTCTTGCGATAGTGTCATGGGCTTTCTCTTCCGATAACGATTAGCATGGTCAAAACGAACAGAGAGAATTCTTTCAGATTCTGTTTGTTTCTTAAATTAATACTTTCTGTTGTTAGTTCTTAGCATGATTTCAGACATCGAAGTGGATTTTAGTCCGCAGAGATCCTTTCGTTGAGCGGAAATTACTAGCAATTTTCTCCAGTCAAGGTTAACATGTACAAGAAAGAGTACTCTTCTTCGGAGTGAGTTGCTATGGACGCTCATTCTGTTATTCATATCGCAAACATCATGCAGCCTGGCTCCTCTACTCCAGCAGTTTATTTTTCACACATGCATGAAAATGATCAAAGTTCTCCAACGCAGTCGGGGTGCCAGCGGCCACGCTGGGTACAGAGCACGGCATTCAACGTCTTCAACACCCTTCTGCATATTCAGGTGTTATACACTGCTGCTACTAACAACTGATGCATTTCGACCAACACCAACTTTGTCTAGGTTACATGAAGTCTTTGTCTGAGTCTCTGACCTATTTCATTTCTTCCCCTCTTATTGAGGTAAATTCCTTGGATGGGAAAGGAGAGTTGTTCTTTCCGCCCAGACCTCGCTACAGTCATGCCAGAGACTCTGAATTGCGGCTTTCTTGCCTTTTTTTCACACTGCCAACAAAAACCACATTAACGGAAAGGATAAGGGTTCATGCAGTTGACCTGCAGACGATCCACATGGCAGGGTCCAACAACGTAGTGGCAGATGCACTCTCCCTGAGATGTTAAGCAGCCTTATATCGATCTCTTGGCTTCCTTGAACAACGCTTAGCTTCCCATGATCTTCCTCTTTGGTGGGACTTTCTAGCAATGCTACAGCCATGGCTTCATGTTACGTCATCTGCCCACCTTTCAAATTTGTGACTGCAGATGTTAGCATTTTGTTATGTGTGTCGATAGTTGGGCTTTGGCTCTAGCTAACACTCCTGTGAGTGCTATAATAAACTTCCTTTAATATGTAATTCTTTCACTCAGAGCTACAAGTATCTACAACTCCTATCTAAAGGTCAGCCCTGGGTGCCATACATGTTGGTTTCAAAATTGGTTCAACTGCCCTTAACAATGACATTCCATCACTGTTTGTATGATATGCTTATCCAGTGTCCCCTTGTTGAGAAATTGATCTGGTCAATAAGACCTAAGCTTGGTTCTCCAGATGCTCTCCGGTCCTTCCTTTGAACCCTAAATAATGCCTGCCTTACGCACACCTGTGTTAGGTTGGCCTTTCTCCTGAAAATTGTTACCTCCTTAGGAGGCTCTACCCATTGCCGAAGGCTGTCTACGTTGGGAGCCACATGGTGTTCACCTTATTCATTTGATTGGCTTCCTGATGATACTCCCTCAGCCGATCCTTCTGATATCTTTACACTCTCCGCCTCCTTACATTCTGGAGATGATGCGGATAAACTTTGGGGCCCTTTTCATGTCCTGAAGTTGTACCTGACTAAAACGATAGCATGAGAGGGACGATATTAACCCCATTGCTTATCACTTTCTGAGACCACCTAGACGGTGCTACTCCTCCCCCACATTAACTGTGTGGGTTGGGTCTACTAGAGAATACCTACCCAAACAGTCCTCTCCCACCCGTCCTCCCCTCTCTAGCTCGAACTTTTGAGTCACTTTCGAAAAAAAAAGGACGATCATGGTGGCGACGCCACACTGCTCTTAATCACAATGTACCTGTTGCATTTCAAAGTTCAATATTTCTTGCAGCTCTGTGTATTTTTGCCAATAAGCATTATGTACCTGAATATCAGTGGTCAAATGAAACAAGGACCACTGCACTTTCCACTTTTTTAGCCTGTGACTCTTGTGACCAGCATCTTTCAAGTGGGATCAGCTCTGCTGGGCTGAAATGTAATGAAGAGGGAGGTCCATCATTTCAAACCTGCTATTCCTGTGGCTGCTAACATGCTCTCACCTGAAGAAAATAGAAATGAATACCATGTTGTCGATACATGTGGTCTATTCAGCAGCATTTTCAATAAAGATAAATATGTGTGCGTTTGTTAACCGTAAATGCTAAAAGGAGTGCATTCATTCCAACGTAGAGCCGACATTATGCTGAGCACTGTGCGAAACGCCGCTGGCACGACAACTGTACCCAGCTAGCTATGTGTATGAGTGTAGCACTTGTGGCCAGCCACAGGGCAAAACAGAACGATGTGCATTGCTCAGTTAGTTGAGGGCTGAGGTCACCGCGCACAAATTCTCTGACAGTATTGATAGATATTCAAAAATTAATAAGACATCAATGGATTGGCTATGAAAATGTAACTTTGCAAACATGATTTGGGGGCTGACTGTCTACCCAAAGAATTTCGTGCGGATCAGAATTTGTCTAGTATGTACGATTTGTCTAGTATGTACAATAGTATGTGCACTAGCTTCCCTGTTTCTCTGAATGGCATATATGTGCACAGATCAAGCCTGCTTTGTCTTTGCTCCCCCACCCCCCGTATTGTACAGACAATGCTGTGTTTTCAGGTTATGTTCATTTCTTGGCATGGTACATGGACTGTATATAGTTGCCTCTCACCCAAAATGGTAAACTGTAAACTGGAACTTACTAGTACTAAGAATGAAGAAGGCAGGAATTAACTGTTAAAATGTTTATAGGGTATGTCTGGTTGCTAAAGTATTAAAAGAAGCAATTGTACACAATACATGTATGTGATAGACAGGCCAGAATTGGTCATCAAATGGGCACTGAAAATGAATTAACAATGTAAGTACTTACTAAAGTCTCAGATGTCTCATAAATGTAAATTCAAATTAAACAGTAGGACTGACATTGCTTCTTTGTAAAACTAAACTTAAAAGCAGATGGTTTATATTTAAATTTTTAATTTGAATCTTGTGAAATTTGCGCAATTTTGTGTAAGAATTGTTTGGGGTGGGTTAAAATTCACCACCCACTGTAAATACTCTCCCATAATAAAGCTATGTGTATGGTGCAGAGGCCCCTACAGAGAGGATAACGCACAAATCTCACTCTTTAACTTAAACCTTCTCTTCTTTCCCACAGATTTGGCTGATAATTCCAACAATTTCGGAGCGTCAGACACAACATGTACCCTTTTGCTTGGCCATAGCATCACTGCAGCTGTGCTGAAATAACAGGCATGCAAAAGTGTAGTGAACAGGAATGCAAGAAGTTTATGTCAACTTATACATCAATACAGAGTGCAAAATGGGCAGGCCTAGCACTAGCAATAGTTACCTTTTCTTCACAGTCACTCAGATGGATCAGCAAAGCAAAATTCTGTACAACAGAGGTTTCTGTGCTGCAACAAATCAGGCCATTATGTGTGACTCCTCTGTCAATTAATTGTGTAGATAGAATGATGCAGGGGCTTAGTGACAAGGATGTGCAATTAACTCACAAATTGAAAACATATCGACCAATACCATCAGTGAGTTCTTGGAGGAACATATCCATTTATTCCTGCAATCTGTGTGAAAAATCTTCTGAAAATAGGAATGAAAGACTTCATGGAAAACTGGTGCAATCACCAACTGAGTCTGCAACTGTTAGAAGTGGCCAATCAAACAATGTGGATCAACAGGGAGATCAGCCACTTGACAGGAACATAATTAAGTCCATTAACAGACTTGCTGAGGCTCGGCTTATGTTGCAAAATCCTGCTCCTGCTAAGGAGGAATCAAGGCCTGGCCGGCCACAACCACCAGACCCAGAAACATGCTGCCAAAGTGGCTGTGTCAACTGTGTGTGGATTAAATATGTCCAAGATATGCAGGATTATGCACCTGGTGACAAGGAGCAGGTAAAGATAGCACTGGATCTAATCAAGGATTACAATGTGAAGATGTTTGTGAAAATGGAATTGGATTTATAGGACCCCAACCAAGAACACGCTCATGAACTATCTTAGATAATGCCCTTCTTGTTCATGGGCATGTATTTTTGCCCAAAACATATTGTGCATGTCCAATCCCCACAAAGCAGATGGATTTCAGTGACGATTATTTGAAAGCTGATGAGGTCCTTAGTTTTGCTGTACATATAGGCACAATCTGCTTCTGTATTTACAACTAATTTGGGAGATTCCCATGTGTCATATTTCAGCTGGTTGTGTGAAACAAGTGTTTTGTTGCATATCTGGGGAACCGATGAAAATGAAATGTCACCGTTTTTTATAAAAACATGTTTTCAATAAAGCAATTATTGCGTGTCTCAGCCAGCAGAGCCAACACTTGCATGACCATTGGCCCAGGTAGCTGTTTGTATTTGGGTTATTCCATGAAAGACCAACACATTTTTTGACTTTAGGTCTTAAAATTTTGTTAAAAATTGCTATGCGTGTAGACATCAATGAATAATAAATATGTGCCAATTTTTTGCAGAATCCGCCCTTCCATGCGGTCAAGGCAGAGATCAACAAAAGTGCATAGTTTTCACTTAAAAATCCACCCTTTTAGCAAAAATTGAACATAAGTCTCTAATTTTTTTATGGAATATATGCAAATGTGGTATCAAATGAAGCAGAAGAACATGCTTCTTTTCATTGATGATGTGGGAATTTTGCTTTGTAAATCAAGAGTCAGAATGACCTTTGACATGCGTCTGTGACCTTTGACCACATTTCAAAAAAGTATTTTGAAATTTTTTTAAAAGTATGGTTCCTGCTCTAGAAGAATCAGCTTAAATCTTTCTGGCGTCTTTGAAATAAAAAAATTTTCTACAGTTGATCAGCTAAGAATGTCAGTTTTGTATTTAATCCAAATACGGGAATTTGTACCCAAGCAGTTTATGCTCTAAAATGAAATCAACCCAAGGAGTATGTAAAATTATATTGAAATTGGAGGATTTGGGACTGTTGGGGTTCATGAATTTTTAATTAAATGGTTTTCAGAGCCAGAGTAATATATCTCACTCAAAATTATTTCATTTAAGGAGCCCAGTTTACAAGCATATGGTAATTGATTCGGAATATATGAGGACTGAGGAGTTGTCATGTGTTGACGGAGCAAAACATAAAACCTGAGTGGGTAATGTTTAATTTTTACTAAAATGGTGGATTGTTAAGTGGACATTGCCCTTGTTTGTTGATCTATGCCCTGACCACATGGAAGGGCGGATTCTACTAAAAAATTACGAGTATTCGTTATTCTTTGATGTCTACAAGCACAGCAATTTTTATCAAAATCTGAAGATCTGTGGTCAAAGAGTGTGTTGGTCTGACATGGAACAAGCCACTTCTCTTTGATCTCTTAATTTGGCACACAGTCATACCACTTGATACCAAGAAAGTCTAAGACCTAAGCAGGTGTGTGCTTAATTTGGAAAATTTTGTGACCTCAAGATTGTGGGTTTTTTTTAAATACACACCATGCATATGTACAATACATTGCAATTGAAAAAAAAAGAGGGAAAAGCTCACAGTTTTTCCCATCTGGGAAAGTGAATGTTCGTTCACAAATTGTAAACACTTTTTCCTGGTGGGAAGAATTTTGTTCACTTTCTTCCCCCTCTGTGAACAAAGAATTCCTTTTTTATTTCACAAGTTCTAAATTTTCCACACTGTTTTCCATCAGTAGACAAATGTGCACAATGTGTGTGCAAAAAGTTTCACACTTTTTTTTCAAAAGTGTGGAAAATTTCACAGCTTTTTTTCACACGTGGGAAAATATTGCACTCATTTTTTTTGGAATTTCAATGGGAATTATTTTCGCAACATTTGCGAATTGTTTTGACAGGGTTAAGTTGCAGTTCAGTGCATTGTAACTGCTGATGCTTTTGGTATTTTTATTTATGTGCACCCATATCACAAGGAAATTACAATTTAAACACTTGGAATATTCTTTGTTTACAAATCGAGTCATAGTTAAGATTACTGTAGTTACAATTTGACATGATAAATGACTTATACCAGTGGTTTCCTTTGATGAGGTTTAGCAGCAGGCCACCTTGCCATAAGTGTATGTCACCCTGTAAAAATGTTCAATACCTTACTATTTTTTATCACTTAATTTTTCCCTGTTCTGTAGTCATACAGTTTATCTACCGTAAGCACGAAGACGTTTTCTGTAGAATAAACATGAAGAGTTGCCAGCATCAGAATAATATTCAGCATTTCTGGATCTGGATGCAATGTATGTAACACAGAATACCATATAATTATAGTCATTTTCCTAGTTCAGATTGCAAGACTGATTCAGTCTGATTGCGGTTTGACAACCCACCAGTAAATTGTCCACTTTGTAAGAAGCAGACTATACAAAATAATTTTCAAAACATAAGCTTTCAATTTTGAATATTCAAGATGCATTTCCGAACGGGGGAGATGTCAACTATCTATAAAACGGTCCTTGCCCTCACGCAACGTATATCAATTTTGAATATGCAGGATTGTCAAAAGTGCCAATGCCACTTTCCTTTGCGTACAGGAGTGTACAGTGTTACAAGTATATTACCAGTATGTGTGTACAACACAAGATATTAATGCATGGGAGTTCAATTGCATCACATTATATATGTAAACAACACTTCAAAGCAATTATCTAATTGCTATCATGATTATTGCTACTTCAAATTGCTTCTTTATCAAAAATCATGGTAGATTTAGATTCTTTGCACAATCACCTTTTCAAATATACCAGTATTAACAAATTTGATTGAAGAAGATAGGGTCGTTTGCTGAAAATGGCAGTCAAGCCCATTTTGGCCAAAGTCGGCCAAAAGTGGTGGGCTGTAACTTAAAAACTGTTGGTCAGACAGGGCTAAAAATTGAACCGATATTGTTTTCTGCCACAATTGCTCTTTACACCAAAATCGAACTAATTTGAAGGGGGTTGGTTTTAACCAATGGAGTGATCGGATACAAATGACTCTTCAGTCACCCTACTTACACAAATGACCCTTTTGAGGAAAATGGGCCATTTTAATGGTTCTTCCTTGTGCGGACGATGTGCTCAGAGGGACTCAATTTCTTTGCAGTCATTTAACGTACCAA